CGCAACATCGCCGTCCGACTCACGCCGTCCGACTCGCACCATGGCCGGAGTTCGCATCAGGGTTTCGCCAGGGTCTCCAGTTGGCATCCAAAAGTGCGACCGTATGACCACCTGCCACGCAAATGCCACACATACACGGGTATATAATTATTTTGCTGTGTTGTGGTTGTGTGTAGTGGTAGTAGTAGTGTCGTAGTAGCAGTAGTAGTAGTAGCAGTAGTAGTAGTAGTCGTCGTCGTCGCCGTCGTAGTAGTGGGAGGAGGTAGGTAGCTACTCAGCTACTAATTAACAGTTAGCAGTTAGTAGTAGTAAGTCGGTGCACAATCATTGTGATTGTGGTTGTGTGTTTTATGTGGTTGTGTTTTCGTTGGTTCTGTATTGTGTTTGTGTTTGAGGTTCTGTTTTGTTGGTTGTGTATTGTGTGTTGTGTGTGTGTCGTTGTGTTTGTGGTTGTGTGTTTGTGGTTGCGTGTTCGTGGTTGTGTTGGTTGTGTATTATGTTCGAGGTTGTATGTTGTTGTTTGTGTGTTGCGTGTTTGTGTTTGTGGTTGTGTGCTTGCGGTTGTGTAATGTTGCTTGTGTACTGTGTGGTGCGTGTTTGTCAGTACTGTTTTGTTGGTTGATGTTGGTTGTGTATTGTTGGCTGTGTACCGTTTTTGTGTTTGTGGCTGTGTATTGTTTGTTGTGTTTGTGGTTTGTATTGTGTTTGTGGTTGTGGTTCTGTTTTTGGATGTATGTGGCTGTGTGTTTGTGTTTGTGTTTGTGGTTGTGTGTTTGTGGTTGCGTGTTTGTGTTTGTGGTTGTGTGATTACGGTTTTGTATTGTTGGTTGTGTATTTGTGTTTATGGTTGTGTGATTGTTGTTGCGTTTGTGTGTGTGTGTGTTTGTGATTATGTGTTTGTGGTTGTGTGTTTGCGATTGTGTGTTTGTGGTTGTGTGTTGTGTGTTTGTGGTTGCATGTTGTTTGTTGTGTATTGTGTTTGTGTTTGTGGCTATGTGTTGTTAGTTGTGTATTGTGTTCTGTGTTTTAGTTTGTGTTTGTG